TCTTTTGTTCTGAGCTGCATTTCAGCCTCCTTGGCATCTTCCCCCCCGTCGTGTCCCCTGTGCTTTCAGGACCTATGCAAAATTAGCCAAGTCCCTCTTGCACCCACTGGGTTAGCAGGACTGTGGGTCCTGGCCGGTAAGCAGAACAAGGTCCCACTAGGGGAATGGTGCAGTTGACACAGGGATGTGCCAACCTGACTGCCTCTCAGAGCAGGACTTGCTGTGGTCAGCACACAGCCTCCAGCTCTCTGGGGTTGGCTGAGAGCTGCCTCACCACCAAAACGACTGATCACGGGCAGGTGTCTAAATGCTGGCTACTGCGTCCCCCACCGGCCACTTCAACGGGCCATATATGCCCATGGGCTCGGCTTTGTGGGGCCTGCATCACAGCATCAGCTCCCTCCGTGTGCAACCCTGCTTCCGCTCCCTGACCTTCCGCTCCCTGACCTGCTTGCCAAACTCCAGCTCAGCACCTGCTTCCAGAAAGCCCTATTTGTCACAGAAAGGGAGTCTTTACAAAGATGGAACCAAAGAGGAGGTGGTGTTGGATGCTCGAGCAAAGGAAAAAAAGATGGTCTTTCCATTTTCAGATACCTGATTCTCTGCAGTCTTTGCTAAGAGTCTGGGGGTTCCCTAAGAGCTCCTTCAAAGCACACAGGAAAGGATTTTCTTCAGGAGAGAATCCTCTGCACCTCTCCAACCTGAGCGGGCTCCTTTGGATAGTTCAGAATGGGCCAGACTGCAAACATCTCAGCTCCCTGCCCCTGGGCAGGACTGGAAGAGCCATCACCCTCTATTTGTTGACACCAGGACGGGATTTGCTAGCCCAAACCAGCAGAACCACCTGGCAGTTTCCACTCACTAGGAGAGGGTTTCCTTTCAAGTTCAGTTCCTTTCCCAGCCCTGGAATTCCCAAAAGCAGCAGCGTCCTGGTTCTCCCTCCTCTGGACCCATAGTACTGAGTGTTCTTGCCCCATTATATGCAATTAATTAGGCACCACTGTAGGACAATTCCCAGGCTCCCGGCTGCTCAGCTCATTGACTTAACCCTCTGAATTAGTATTTTCTACTGAAAAATAGCAACCAGCTAGGAGCTCCTTATCCAGGTTTGGGTTTTTTGTTTGTTTTTTGTTTTGTAGAAAGACGACTATGCCAGACTTCCTCCTAGCATGGCTATTGGGTTAAATTACAGGGAATGATTTCCAATCTTTTCTTTTTAAGTGACTTTTGCTATTATCGTCACTTGTTTTTATTATTAAAACAAGAGAAAGTCATTGTATTGGTTTCCTATTGCTGCAGTAACCAATTACTACAACCTCAGTGGCTTAAAACAATCCAAATTCATCATCTTATAGTTCAAAGGTCAGAAGTCCAAAGTGGCTCTCATGAGGCTAAAATCAAGGTGTCAGGAAGGCTCCCTTTCCTTTTTTTGGAGGCTCCAGGACAGAACCCCCTTCTTACCCCATCCAGCACTTCTGGGGGCCTGGCCCCCTGCCATCAGCACTGGCAGGTGGAGTTTCTCTCGTCGGGCACCATTCTTCTGTGCCTGCCACCCCCCCCCCCTCCATGTAAAGGCGCCAGTGATTACACTGCGTCCCCTGGATTATCTAGGATAATCTCCCTTTCAGCTGATTAGCAACATCAACCTCACCTTAATTCCCCCAGGCTCTGAGGATTAGGATGGGGACATCTTTGGAAGGTCATTATTCTGCCTACAACATACATGCTCATTGTAGAAAATTGAGAAATACAAAGTATAAAGGAGAATATATAAACCACTTGCCATCCCGCTGCCCAGAGATAACCAACAGGTACAGGTCAGTGGATCTCCATCCAGTCCTTTGTTCAGAGCATGGTTTTTTGCTTAGCAAACTAGATTTAGGAAATACTATAGGGTCTAGTAACTTTCCTTAATGGTACGCATGTATTCCCATGCTATTTAGTATTTTGCTACATTTCATCTTTTAATGGCTTTCGAGGATTCTATGTGGATGTACTACAATTTATTTAACTTAGTTAATCCTCTGTTGTAAGGCACATACTTTATCTCTAAGTTTTCTTTATGCCTGGAGCCCGGTGGTAAACATCCCTAAAGCTACATCTTTATATACGTTCTTAGGCTACAGATCCTAAAGGTACCCGAGACTGGGTACCAGCCATAATATTTGTCCTGTAAAGTGGGATGTTTTTGAGACTGAGAAGGGGTAATCTTAAAAGTTAACAGTAACTAATAACTAAGAATAAGCCAGGACTGATGTGGGTGTGACACATGTTGCCCACCTGGCCTCCCGAAACGTGGCAATGATTCACATTCCCACCAGCAGCACCCAAGTATCCTAGCTGTAAGCCTTTGCCGAAATTGCCAGCCCCCCTTCCTGCCCCCAGTCGCATCTTCCTAAAACTGAAAACCACACAGAGGCAAATGCCATTCTAACTCTCAGGGGAGAGGTGGCAGTGGAGGCCCGTTTCTGGAGGCAGGGAGAGGACGGCTAAGCCATGGCTGGCCCTCGTTGCCAATGATTTTACTTTAGGTGAGTCTATCGTGGCTTCTGATCCAGGTACAGGCTGGATTAGCTTCAAGGCAGTGGTGACCGGCCCCCCCTCCCTACACAAGGATGCAGGGACAGGTTCCCTGGATCCTGGAAGAGGCACCTTCCCACAGAGCCTTCCCCAGGCCCAGGCAGCTGTCCCCGGGGAGTCCGACAACAAGACAGTATTACCTGAGCAAATTCACCTGACAAACTTAGCTGAGCAGGAGGCGCTGACCCTGCAGAGCCAAGGGTGAGAGCTTGAAGCTGCAGCCAATTCCCCACACAATGTTTCGGGGACCAAGTTACACTTTCTCATCAGAACCTCCTTTTGGATAGAACCCTCTGAAACCATCACCTGTCAAGAACACACTCAAATAGGGGCACCTGGGTGGCTCAGGTCATGATCCCAGGGACACCCCCCCCCCCATTGGGCTCCTTGCTCAGCAGGGAGCCTGCTTCTCCTTCTCCCTCTGCCAGCTGCTCCCCCTGCTGTGCTCTCCTCTGTCTCTCTGACAAATAGGATCTAAAAAAAAAAAAAAAAAGAACACACCCAAGTAAGGCAGCTGAAACCACAAAAACTAAAAGACTAAATTGAAAGATGTTTCCTAACATTCACATGGGAATTTTTTTTTTAATATTTGCTTATTTGTTTTTAATTTTGGTAGAGGTTATTTGAATCTGGCCACCAAGACTACAAAATGCTCGTGGGGCAAAGACCCAGGCCCATGCACCAGGTTGCCTCCCCCCGCTTCTGGAGATATAAAACAGGCATCATGAATGCGAGCACTGAGAAAAGACATCAAGTCCTTCTTGCCGCAGACATTCCTGACTTTCCGCATCCAGTAACCCAGAGGCCACTCAGCAGACGTTTGACTCATTCTTGTTGACTCATGTGCTGGAAAAGCAAACCCAAATGCGCCCCGATAGCAATCTAGTTTGGGAGCAGTTTCACTTGTTAGCAACTGGCTATCGGCCTGTAGAGAATGTAAGCCTTCAGAAACGAAAAAAAAAAAAAAAAAAGAAAGTTCCAGGTGATATTTTGTAGGCACACCTGTAAACTGTGCTCTGTTAACCTGGAAAATGAGCAGAACACACCTGGAAACGGTGCTCTGTTTGCTAAATGAGCAAGAGGCGGCGCGGGCCGGCCTGCGACAGGAACCGGCCAGTAACTGGAGGTCTAACGCTCGGGCTTTCTCTCTGGAAGAATCACTCTTTTAAAATTTCAGCTTTGATGCCTTAGTGCGGAGGTTCACTTGGACATCTAGGCTATTTGATCTAAGCAAAGGCAGAGTTGTAGGATCGCCATCACCCGCAAAAGGGAGCCCAACAATCTGGAGAGAGAAAACCCTGGCCCAGGCGGTGAAGTGTGTTGGATTCCTCACATCGAAGATTGGCTTCTGTGTCCAGAAGGACGGAGCCACAAGGTCCTGAATCCAGACCTAGGGCATGGCCTCCCCCACGCTCTGTGGGTCTTTGCCAGGGGGATTTCTTGGTTCTCTTTTTTAAGATTGATTTATTATTAGAGAGAGAAAGAGTAGGTGTGTGGGCACGAGTGCCGGGAGGGAGGGAGGGAGGGAGACGGGGAGAGAGAGAGGATCTCAAGCAGACTCTGGGCTGACCAGGAAGCCTGACTTGGGGCTCAATCCTGCGACCCTGAGATCATGACCTGAGCTGAAATTAAGAGTCAGTCGCCTAACCAACTGGGCCACCCAGGGGCCCCTGCCGGAGGTTTTCTACAAAGATATCTTTGGAAGCTAAAGCCAGGACTAGGTAGAGAGGGGAGAAACGTTTGATCCATTCTTCGATATCGGCCCTAGACCCCTAGGTTACCCTGCCGTGAAGACCCACACGGCCGGCTTCAGGCCTTTGCCGTCCTTTGCATCTGCAACTCCTTGCCCCCCTCGGATACCCACTGGCTCACTCCCTCACCTCACTCAGGCCTCTGCACAAATGTCACCTGCCCATACAAGTTTTGCCTGATGGACGATCCTATCAGAAACAGCCCCCCACCCTGGTTTCCCTTCGTCACACTTACCACTACTCTCCATTGTAGGGTACACTTAAGGGCCTCATTACCTGTCTCCCCCCATTAAAATGCCAGGTGCCGGGGGATCCCTGGGTGGCTCAGCAATTTAGAGCCTGCCTTCAGCCCAGGGTGTGATCCTGGGGTCCCCGGATCGAGTCCCACGTCGGGCTCCCTGCATGGAGCCTGCTTCTCCCTCTGCCTGGGTCTCTGCCTCTCTCTGTGTGTGTCTCTTGTGAATAAATAAATAAAATCTTTAAAAAAAAATAATGCCAGCTGCAGGATGGTGACATTTGCATTTACAGCCCAGGCCCCAAGTCTTAGGCCAGCGCCTGGCACATTGTAAGAACGCAATAAATACTTGTTGAAGGAGTGAATGAATCCTAAAGTTAGTGTTGGGGCAAACACGGAACAGCCGGCCTTTCACCGGGCAGATGGGGACTCACCTGAGTGGTATGTGGGAGCCAGGTGACGTCTCGAGGGGCTCTGGGGATAAGCTGGGTTGGAGAGAGAGCCATGATGTGTGGCTTGCGGCCCTGTGGTTGCAGACACCATGGAGGGGAGGGGGACACGGCCAGGAGCTCCCTCCTGGTTTGACAGCCGCTCTCCTCAAGCGCTGGCCTGGTAAAACTGGAAAAGTCTAGAAGCATCATTTGACTGATGGGAAACTGAGGTCCAGAGAGACTTAAGTGGCAGAGCTGGGGTTCACACTCAGGTCTATCTGACATCCCGTCGACTCTTCTTTCTAAAATGCACCACGGCCCCCCAGCAGTGGGAGGAGGGAGTCTCTGGGCAAAACTGCTCTGGAAAACCTTGACCAGCAGCTCCTCTGATGGTAGCAGAACAGACTCCAAACAATATTTCCTCTGAATTTTTACAAAAAAATGTCTCTATCAAATGACAACGCTGGACTTTGTATAGCGGCGTTGTTCTGCAGAACTTTCTACAATAATGGAAATATTTCTATTTCTGCGCCGTCCCATACGGTAACCCCAAGTCACACGGGGCTGGTGGGCCTCTGTGGCTAGTGGGGCTGAGGAAGTGACCCCTAAGTTTTAAATGTGATGTCACTCAATCAACTTACATTTAAGTATGAATGGCCGTCTGTGGCTAGCGGCTACCGCTTCTGGACAGCACCATTCTAGAAACTTGTATAGAGAGGCCTTACTCTGGAATACGAAGAGGAGGGGCAGGTGGGAGGGAGAGATGGGCGGGAGGAGAGAGCTGGGGGGGAAAGATGGAGAGAGACGCAGAGGGGGAGAGGGAGAGAGGGGGAGAGGGGAGAGAGGGGTGAGGGGGCGAGGGAATGAGGGGGCAAGGGAGAGACAGAAAAAGGGGGAGAGGGGAGACAGGGAGATGGAGGGGGAGAGGGGGAGGGGGGAGAGGGAAAGAAGGGGAGAAGGAGAGAGAGGGGTGAGGAGGCGAGGGATTGAGGGGGAGAGGGAAAGAGGGGTGGGGGTGAGGGAATGAGGGGGAGCAGGAATGAGGAAGAGAGGGGGTGAGGGGGAGAGGGAGAGAGGGGGTGAGGGGTAAGGGAGAAAGGGAGTGAGGGGGAGGGGGGAAAAGGAGGAGGGGAGAAGGTGGAGGGGGCGAGGGGGCAAGGGAGAGAGGGAGAAAGGGGGTAAGGGGGAGAGGGGGTGAGAAGGAGAGGGGGTGAGGGGGAGAGGGAGAGAAGGGGAGGAGAGAGAGGGGTGAGGAGGTGAGGGAATGAGGGGGAGAGGGGGCGAGGGGGCAAGGGAGATAGGGAGAGAGGGGGTGAGGAGGAGAGGGGGTAAGGGAATGAGGGGGAGAGGGTGACAGGGAGAGAGGGAGAGGGGGACAGGGGGAGGGGGGAGGGGGAAGAGGAGGAGGGGGGCGAGGGGCAGAGGGAGAGAAGGGGAGAGGGAGAGAGAGGGGTGAGGAGGGGAGGGAATGAGGGGGAGACGCGAGCGCGCGGCCTGGCCGTAGTTCCCCGCCGCGGCCACGAGATGGCGCCCCTGCTCGCAGGCCGCAGGTTGGGGAGCGCGGCCGGCGCCCCGTGGCCCCCGCGGCACCGCCTGCACCTTCGCGGCTCGCTCTTCCCACCTGCCCTCCCGCCCCCGACTCCGCCTGCCTGGAGCCGGAGGCCCGCGGAGGACGTAGTGTGAGGCGGCCGCGGGGTCCGGGGCGCGGGTCCCCAGGCCGCCCCGAGGGCTCTGAGCCCGCCGAGCTGGTCTCGCCCGAGGCGGGGGGGGCGGCGGGGGGATGCACCCGGGGCCGCTCCGCAAGCCCCCGCGGGGGCGCTCACAGCTCCGGGCCGGCCGAGCCGCCAGGGGGAGGGCAGCGTCGCGGGGCGCCCTCGTGCGGCGGCGGGACGCACCTGCCCTGCACCCTCCCCGAGCAGCCCGGTGGGGGGGGGGACCCCCAGGGGCCCCGAGTGGGGTCCGGGCCACCTGTGCTCGCAGGAGAGCCGAGCCTGGACGCAGGAAGGCGCCCACAGCCGCCCTGGCCCCCAACCTGGTCCCTTCGGGCCCAGCCCCTTGGCAGCCGTGATGCGAATCGCTACGGCCCCGAGGTCATCCGAGGTCAACCGAGGCAATAACCAGGAGCATCATTAATTCCTGAGGCCTCAGTGGCTCATTTATCTCTGATACGCGTGGGGATCAAAGGAGGGTATTTATAGCTTGGAAACAAGCCTCCCATTCTTCCCCTGCTGTGATAAATAATAAAAAGCGCCCAGGCTCCTTCCTGGGCCATCTCTTTCCTGCTGGTCCCAACTGTCCCCGGACAAAAGCCAGCCCAGCGCTCCCCTCTCTCTACTCCTGCTCTTCCCTCTTGAAGGACCGGGCAGGTCCAGCTGCCGTCTGCTCAGCTCCAGAGAGACATGGCTGCAAGTGTCCTGTGGGGCCAGCCGCCCGGGTCCCTCGGTCCCCAGGGGGCCCAGGAGGCCTCTGACCCTGCTGACCTCGGCCGCCAGGATGGGCATTGGGGGGGGGGGGCCTCTCCTTGGACACTGACCGCCTTTCCTCCGCCTCTGTAGATATATCAGTGCTGAAACCAGACCGCCGGGGCAGGCCACAAACCCGGCCCTGCCACTTACTAGCTGTGTGACTAGGGCAAGTGACTTAACCTTAACCTAGGCCTCAGTTTCCCGGCCTGTGAAATAGGGCTGATAAGAGCATCTAAGGCTGGCCTGTCAGAACTACACGACCCAAAATGCTCAGCACAGAGCCTGGTACAGAATAATGCCAGCAGCCTTCGTCAGTACCTCGAAATCCTTATCTCAGTCTCCGGCACTTGTAGCTGGTGTGCACCCTGTATCTTTCACGTTCCACGGTGACCTGTAAGAGATGAAGTGAGGACGCATGGAGCCCCCACTGGAACCGGGACTGCCCAGCTGTACCAGGAATCGGATCATTGTAGGTCTGTATGCAGGGGAGGCGGCCGCTGGGGTAGGGGGGGTCGGGGGGGGGATCTTCAGCCTTAAGGAGGCTGTGAGCTGGGCCCAGGTCAGTTTCTCAACCTCTGCACTCTTGACATTTTGGTCCAGGTGACGCTTTGTCGGGAGGTGTCATCCTGTGCATTTCAGAATGTTTAGCAGCATCTCAGGCCTCCACTCACTAGGTGCCAGTAGCAGCCTGCTAGTCGTGACAGTCAAAACTGTCTCTGGACAGCCCCGCATGTCCCCTGGGAGGCAAAACTGCCCTGGGTTGAGAACGTTTGGCGTCGGCAGATGGGGGGAGTGCGGAGACCTCCCCCCAGGTACCTGGTAGAGCTAAGGTGACGAGGCAAGAATGAGCACGGAGAAGAGACTCTCCTGCCAGACCCTCAGGGTTGAGCACAGAGGTTAGCCCTCCAAGAGGAACACCCGCCACGGCCTTCCCCAGGAACAGTGTGCCCTGCTTGGATGTGCACCTCTGGGTGGCCCCCAACCACAGGTCAAACACATAACCCTGCCCGGCCCAGGTGCCCTGGCCGAGGAACAGTGCCCTGGAGCCCCCACGGGGCAGACCTCGGGTCAACACTCATCTTCGGGCCAAGGACCCCCCCGAGTGCGGATCCCTGCACTGCTCCTCACTCACCGGGCAACCTCGGGCAACATCTCTGGGCCTTAGGATCAGCATCTGTTAAATGAAGGCAATAAGAGCATTTACCTCTTAGGGTCATTATGAGGATTCAGTGACTTAACATATGTAAAGTGCTTAGCACAGAGTCTGGCGCATGGCAAGTAGGAAGTAAGTATTCGTTAAATAAGTCAAAACCCAAAAGGCAGAGGCCACAGACGAGGGGACACAGGCTTCTTTAAGTCAGAAGTTGCCCCTGCTGTGACCTCAGCCCGAAGGGGTGTTTCCGCGGGGCCCCTGGCCATCTGCGCCAGGGGTTAGGGGCTGCGTGCGTGCATGCGGATCTCCGGGGATCCCCCCTACAGAGCTGGTTGCTCTTAAAGTCCTTTGCCCAGACAGAAAATTCAGCGCAGGGGGCTTTGGAACTTCCCATTTACCCTGGGGACTTCTTTGATTTCAGTGTGTTGGGAGGAAAGCCTTTCCCTCTACCAACTTAGGTCTGAGGGGTGGGAGTAGAGACCAGATTAATAGGACAAAAGGCCAAGTGCGTCACACACTAGTGCGGGAGCACCGGGTAATGGGTAACTCACTGGAAAACCAGAGGTAGAGGTGTATATACCAGTTTAACCAAAGGAGGGGCCGGTGGTTAGGGCTTCAAGGGATGGAAGGTTCTGATGAGGAATGTGTACACAGTTTCTCCAGGAATGTCCCTGTGCCCCATATCACTGCCTCCCTGACGGAGGCCTCCCTGGAGGGCTGGGGGTAGGGTGGGCAGCTGGTCTCCTAAAGCTCTATGTTAAGGGGAGTCCAGACGAGGCTTCTATGCATCTGCTGTTGGGTTGTGGGTCCCTTCCTGGGACGTACCTGTGGAGGGAGAAGGCGTGAGGGAAGGAATCGGGGTGAGTGGATGTGGCCTTTTGGGAGCCCTAACACTTCTGCTTAGCAGGGGAGGCAAAACCCAAGTCAGGAGGCCTCCCTGAACACAAGCAGGACAAGCCACCCAGTGTTGCCAACTGCGGTGTGCTAGTTAGCCATGGCTGTGGAACAAACTACCCTAAAACATCTATCTTGGCTTAAACAATAAACATTTATCATCTCTAACAGTATCTAAGAGTCAGGAACTTGGAAGCAGCTAAGCTGGGTGGTTCTGGCTCAAGGCCTCTCATGAGGTCGCGATCAATGTGTTGAATGGGGTTGCCATCAGCCGAAGGCTTGGCTGGGGCCGTAGGATCCGCATCTGAGAGGCCTCCTCTCACAGCTGTTGGCGGGGAACCTCAGTTACCACGGCACAGACTGTGATAGGGCGGCTTGTGTGACTTTATGAGGTAGCACTAGCTTCCTCCAGAGTGAGCAGCCCAAGACAGAAGCTAATGCAGAAGTCATAATGTCTTTACTGGGCGAGGCTTAAAGGCGTGTATGGTCACTGCCATTGTCTTGATGCCCATACAGGTAGTATGATGCCCATACAGGTAGTGTACACGAGGCCATGAAAACCAGGAAGCGGGGGGCATTGGGCACCATCTTGGAGGCTCTCTGAAACACTGTCCCAGAAGAATGTTCACCTGGTCACTGGCCCAGGTGTCAGCCCAGCTCAGGTACACCCTTGTAGAAGACTCTCAGACAAAAATCCATCCCTCTGGAGTGGGATTTGGGGCTCCTACCCACTGCCCCAAGGATACCCACTCAGGATTGGGTCATGAGTCGTCCCCA